GCAGATGTTTGTGTGATGAATACGAGCATTTGTACTCCAGTCATGGATGTTTAATATGTAATTCTATATAAATATACTTATATATGTACAGTATATGTATTCTATCCGTTACCCTAGTATCCCATAACACAAGCCTTAATAGTGCTTACTTTGGGGCTAGGCTAATTGGTGTGGGTGTTAGCAATATTTATTTAGTTATATAAATAATTTTCCTGAGTTTATCAGTACATTTTGTAGTAGTTAAGTAAATGGATACATAATTACTGGCAAGCGGCAAGCTTGCGTCTCTCACGTTCCGTTTCGCATCCATTGTGTGTGCGACAGTTAGTTGCTCCAGTAAAAAGTATTGGTCAATCGGCGCAGACGCATTGTACGGACAATTTTGTAATGAATTAAATAACGTACCTTAAGAATTGTTGCGTTAACTAGGTACTAACTGATTCGTTTCGTAGATAATAATAGCTTCTACCTAACTGGTGTTATTAAAATCTCGTCGACTCCGATTTATTAGCCAATTAGAATGAACTAGCAAACCAGTGAACCAAATGTTCACCAAAACCTGAATTGAAAAAAAAAAGTGCTTACTTAATTGAGAACTTCGGAGATTTAGTGTGGTTTCGTTTGAAATTCGTGATTTCTCGAAAACCGGAAGTGCTACGTTACTCAAATCCGGTTTGTAGTCTTATCAGACTATTCTTAACTTATAACTTAAATATTCTCTTTATCTATCTCTTACGGTTTGGCCGCTGAAACAGCACGACAGACGGACGGACGGACTTGTCTAATAGATAAGAGATGTTAATGCTCATTTATGTTCTGTTTCTGTATGTGAAATATGGTCGTTGTCAAATCAATGTCTGCAAAAATATAACTCTTAAAAGATTGCAGCTGTTAATATTTGACAATATTCTGGCGGACGCACATAGCATTATTTTTAAGCAATCTCTGTTGACCCTCTTAAGCTAAGATTCACATGGCAGTCTTGTATTCAAAAATTTGGTATGGTTTAACTATGAAAAAAGTTATATAATGAAAATGAAACCAAACATTTTAAAATATCTTCTTCAAATAAAAGATTCATGCATGACATTTATGACATTTTTGAATGACGTCTTAAAAGGGCTGCCGGATCAAGTTTTTCTGGTGTGCATGACCAGATTATTGACTCTGCAAAATTATCGTGGTTCGACTTTATTGGTTTGACAACGACGAATTTTCTTTAACCATTATTGTAAACATGATGTTTTTATTTTATAATAAAGTTGTTTTTGATCTGAACGATGTTTTCTAGTAAAAACCTAACTACCTATCTTCTTAGTAGGAATTCATATTTGTTATCTTATAATATACCAATACCAGTCCTACTTCTAAAAGTTCAGTAAACTACAGAAAACGAGTATAATTAATTTAGTTTGATTTATACAGCGGACTAAATATGTTGTTATTCAAGTTAATCTCAACTTTATATGTTACTAGCGGCCCGCCCTCGCTTCGCTTCGGTGTAGAGCTGAAGTGTAGAGTACAGTTTATGTTCTCAGGCTTGTATTATACACAATGAAATTCATCTATGATTCTTCTTATACCTGCAATGCAAAGTCTCAGCCCGATCGGTTTAAATTTGACAAAGTTTCATACAAACTTTCATTCTCTACTTTATCCCCTTGGGGGTAGAATTGATCAAAATCCTTTCTTAGCGGATGCCTACGTCATAACATCTATCTGCATGCCAAACTTAGCTCGATCCGTCCAGTGGTTTATGCTGTGCGATGATAGATCACTATGTCAGTCACCTTTGAGTTTTATATATATGTTATTTTTATCAGGAAATCGGTTTACGTATTCACAATATGCTTTAAAATTTGACTTTTTGAACTTTTGGTCCTAACTGTACCTTTTTTTTATTACGCAGGCAAAACCTCTATTTACAGACGTTGGCGCCCTTAAGGGCCTCACACCTAGCCTCTCGCAAGTCGCACGGGTGCGAAACGGAAAAGTCGTTAAGCAGTCCGCGCGGCTTACAATCCGCTAAAAACCCTGCGAATACCAGTGGCGGTCTTAGGGGGTGGCGAACAGGGCAATCGCCCGGGGCCTCGCTCCTACAGGGCCTCGCGCAACAACCCAAGCAAATTTTAAAAAAATAAAAAAAAAAACTATTTTTTCAATGACACAAGATCGGCTTTCAGCCCTCGCTATTCTTTCAATCGAAAATGACGTAGCTTATTCGTTAGATTATTGTGCTTTAATTAAAGATTTTAGTCTTAGGAAAAGCCGCAAACATCAATTTTAAAATTTATCATCTCTGTATTTGTTAATTTTGTGAATCTTTCAATGTAAAATATTTTAAAATTCAAATTTGATTTATTTGTATAATTTAAGCATTTTTCCTTAAACATGACAAATACCTAAACCAAACAACCAGACCTACTTTCGCATCACATACTTTTCACGAAGGACAAAGGGCCTCGCAAAGACCTGCCGCCCGGAGCCTCGCAATCGGTAAGGCCGCCTCTGGCGAATACTCTCTACGCTGTTAAGTGGAGAACCGCGAGATATCCGTTGAGGGACTTCACTGCGTCGATCCTAACTGTACCTACATTCCGTATCATCATCATCATCATCCACCCATGCTCGTCCACTGCTGGACATAGGTCTCCCCTAATGCACGCCACTGCTCCCGATTTTCTGCCACTCTCATCCAGCCCACTCCAGCCAGCCTACGAATGTCATCATCCCATCTTGTCTCAGGGCGTTGTAAAGTATCTCAGGAATCGTCCCATGGTTTCGACTATCATAGTAAATACTTTATTCTTGTAAATATATATATTTTAAAACCTCCTCCTGTTTTTTATTTTTTTTTTATTTTTGTCGCTACACGACAGCGTCCCACGCCACGTATGCATACATACATACATACATTCCGTATGCGTGAAGAATATTGATCGTATTTAAACAAACTCCTACTATTTTTTTCCGGAGTCTGCATGTTTGGCACAGAACACAGAAAGAGGTAAGAATGGCCTTGTAGACGGGGCAGCCGCGACGCAGTTACATGTGAGCAAATGCTCATAACTTAACCAAAACTTTGTTCCGATGCAACTCGCACGGGAATCAAAACGTACAGGGTACTTTCCGTGAACTTAGAAACTTGAAATGTGGTACGAAGTAACGTCTTATAGTACAGATAAAGGAAAAATTGCGAAAACCGTAAATTTGTGGTTATATTACACATATATATATATATATATATATATATATATATATATATATATATATATATATATATATATATATATATTATAAAAAAAATTATGTGGTGTCGTGGGGCACCAGGTAGGAACGAAGTTCCTTCGGCTAATGTAGAATCGACACAAATTGCAAACTCGCTTGTGTATGCGACTGTCGCGCCTGCGCACGTCTCATTTAACGGTTTTATTCCACGCACTTTTTTCCACGGATTTTTTCTTACGGTTAGACTATCACATTTTTTTCAGTGCGGTCGCGCAGCAAAATCTCTATCCCCTCCAAGCCTTGTGTATGCGACTGTCGCGCCTGCGCACGTTTCATTTAACGGTTTTATTCCACGCACTTTTTTCCACGGATTTTTTCTTACGGTTTTACCACATTTTTTTCAGTTCGGTCGCGCAGCAAAATCCCTATCCCCTCCAAGCCTGCCGTAAGGAACTTTCGTTCCAAAAATATTTTTTAATTTTTTTAAGTTACTTCCTCTTTTCTCATGAACACGTAGAGGTATTAAATTGAGACTGTACGGAACCATCGGTGCGCGAGTCCGACTCGCATTCGGCCGGTTTTTTTTATAAGTTGTCTTACGAAACTTCAGTGAAAGTCGGAATCTGCCATATCAGCATACGATACTATAGCTAATGCCTATGATATACATATATAATAATTTATTTCCCTTAATGATATCATCTCTGTGGTTAAAGGACAATGGCGAACTCTTATACAAAATTTTGTTGACAATTTTTTTTGAGTCTGTAAATGAATTACATGTTAAATTATAGTGTTTAGATTCTCGGTTTGATTCGTCTTACTTCTTTTATCATAAGAAGTCTGAATTCATAGATATTCTACTTTAAAGTTTTGGAGGTTATGGTGTCGATTCTGGCGTGATTCTCTAAACCTAAACTTAAATTTGACAACAGTGCATCCTTGTCATTCTCTATACAGAATGAAAAGGAAAGACTGATGTTAAATTTAGTTTTAAGTTTAGATAATCATGCCAGAATCGACACCTATGTCATACTATAAAACGAATTATAAAGTATTTTCAATAGTATTTTTAGATCAAAATAAAAAATACGTGGAACAGAACCAGAACCAGACTAGATTTTACCAGTTCCGTAGATTCGTGATGAAAGAAAAATGATTTTTATAAAGTATGACCGTGTCAAAATACTTAATAATACTTTACAGACATGGGTTGTTGAAATCGAATACAATGCCTGTGCTGTAAGAATTACTTAACAATTTGTAAATGTCCACAGCGATAAATTTGTAATAGTGTACAATGTAAATAAAAAAAAAATAGTCAGTTGAATTTGCCTTTTTTAATTTTAAATTCCAGACTTAGACAACCCTCCTCAATTATTTAATAAATCTTTTGAGATTATTTTATTAACATTTCTGATATTGACATCAATAGACGCTAAAGATTTACTTCAACAAATATTTCGCCATTGTCCTTTCAACATTCTTACTATAACTTAAACGTTTAAATAGTAATAATCTTTAAAAGAAAGATCAGAATTAGGTAATATCAAGACACAACGCACTAGAGAGATTTAAAACCTGCTCATAATTTTATTAAAATGCTACATATTCATTAAAGTAAAGCATTGAAAACAAGTTACGCGTCCTTATGTAAGGACAAAATACGCTTAAGGCCTTGCCTTGGCCTCGCTTTGGTCATAATCATAAACACAGTCGGAACACCAGCTCGTGCCTATACAAACGTACATAATTGTGTTTACCTCTTTAAAATGTTAATACGCGATGAGTTCGAACAATGTGAGACGGACGTCCGCTTAGACGGCAAAGTGGCGCTTGTGACCGGCGGTACGTCAGGAACAGGTTTTGAAGCTGCTAAGAGCTTAGCTAAACGCGGCGCCAGAGTCATAATAGCAAGTCGCAACCCAGCGAAGTTGGAAACAGCAAAGAGAGACATCATACAGGCGTCTGGAAACAACGCTGTAGTCGCTAGGCAAATGGATTACGAATCGTTAGCGTCCGTCAGAGAGTTCGCTCGCGAAACGATTGCGACAGAACCACGCTTAGATATACTGATAAACAATATCGGTGCTATCGGACTCCCCGACAAACTGACGGAAGACAGTCTGCAGCTGATGATGCAGGTGAACTACTTCGGGGCATTCCTTCTAACTTACTTACTGTTTCCTTTGCTGAAGTCTTCATCACCGAGCAGGATAGTCAACGTTTCGTCTCTAGCGTTGATCTTGGGAGAGATCAACTTTGAGCACATGAACGATGTCGGGAAGTATTCTAACTTCGGTTACTATTGTAACGCTAAATTGGCTGCTGTTTTGTTCACTGTGGAAATGGATAGGCGAATCAGAGGGTCGGGTGTGAACGTGTACAGTATGGATCCTGGTATATCCAAATCAGAGTTTTTTAGGAACACGGAAAGCGAATTTTGGAAGAAACTGCTCAATGGTGCGTTGCAGATCTTCGGCAGACCTATTCATAGAGTAGCTACAATGCCTGTGTATTTGGCTGTCGATCCTAAGTTACAAAATAGCAGTGGGAAACATTTCAGAGACTGTGCAGAGTTTTACAGTCATTGGAGTGTCAATGATACGGCGTTTACGAAAAGACTGTGGGACGAGTCGAAGAGACTTGTGAAGATTACCGATGCAGAAGACTGGGAGATATAACTTTGAGGGAAACCTTCGCAATGAGGGCTACCGTTTTCTGCCTCACCAGATGGCGCCACTGTTGAGTGAGGTCCTAAATTGTAACTTTTAAAGTTTATTAATACGCACATGAAATCAAAGGTTCCATTTAGATCGTATTTTAACACAAAAGAACCATATCCTAAACATAATAGGCCATGCCACAGTGACGCGCAGTTCTGTTTTATTCGGAAAAAATGGGAACATAATCATTTTTCTAAGCTCAAATTTTTAATAACTGGCATTCATTGCCACATAACTCATATTTGCCATAATTAAGCCGAATTGTTACCAATTATTCACAACATTATTTTAATTAGAAATAAACCCGCGTAGTCAACCAACAAGCAATAACATTTGACATTTCGGAGACCTCATGCTACACTAGCGCCTCTAGCGGCGGATTCATAAGCGATAGCCCTCATTAATGTATATTTATAGTTAAAAAATATTATGTATTAAATTATTTTATTGTTTGCTTTTCTGTAAAAATAAAGCCCACCGTAAAAATAACTTAAAAAAATAGTAATATAGGTAATATGTATTTGGTATTTCTATTCGTTATGTTGTGCCGGTCCAATGTGTTTTTTGATATAGTGTTTAATAAAATAAATCTTGTAAATAATTAAGTATTATATGAAGTTCCTTTTTTCTAAAGTTCTAAAAACATTGTAAATATTAGTGCGGTAAGTTGGTTATTACAAACGAGTAGTAAGTCACGTAGTCACGAGTAACGAGTAACGAGTTTGTAAATACCAATTCCGTATGAATGCCATACAAAGTTTTTCAACACATTTGCGAGAAAACAGTACCTAACCTAATACATGTAATGAAGCAAACTTTTTCTAATAAGAAAGTGGCGCTTCGCGCGGGTGATACTTAGGCCCGTATTATAGAAAGGAGACCCGGCACTTTTCATAGAAAAAATGCTAAACTTGTATACAATGAAGTTGGTCTCAAAATAAAGCCAAAATTATTTGCTACATAAAACTACTTTTGCCTTATTTTTAGTGAATCGTGGAAAGAAGTTATATAATGATTAATATTTTTTGATATGGAAACCCTAAATCTTCAAGGGACAGAATTTTACTTCAAAATATTACTCAAGTGACTGTAAAAACCATGATTCTTTCTTCCTTTTTTCTTAATAAAAAACCAAACCTCAATTTGACAATCCTAAAATACAAACAAAAAAAACATTCGCGTTTCGCATCCGCTCCCGCATACTGTGAATGTTCTCTGCACGTTCTCTGCTGTGATTGCCTTTTTATCCGTTATTTCTCTTGACGACCCGGCTACATATAGAGGTTATATTGACAAACCTACGTATTTGACATTGACAGCTAGCTGCTGATGACAAATATTGCCAGACTACGTTACCCAATTATGAAACACAGATAAAAAAATTAAAAAAGTATACAACTTTGGCACAAAATGCCGGGTGTACTTTCTCAGTAATGAATCTAGTCTTGAGCATAGTTAGAAAGGGATGTCGCTATATAGCACATAGCGACATCCCTTTCTAACTGTATTCAAGTAAAGATCAACACTTATTTGTCAGCCTTAGAACTGCATCTTTAGTCTCTTTTTCTCTTTAGTATTAAAGTGAAAAGGTATAGATTAAAAGCGTTTCCAAGAAGGTTGGAACGAAATTTTGAAATAAAACCGTGAAACATACGCACGGCGCCATGTAGGGAGCGTGCGGTAAAACGTTTTACCGCACGCCCGTTCTATGGCCGGTAATTTTGAACTATAGAATAATATAAACAACCTTCGTAAATGCATGTTTGGAGCAAATGAAATCAAAATAAATTTTTACAAACTCATAAATGCAGGTGCATTGCATTGCACGCAGGGTCAGAATTAGAATCGCACTTGACAATAGGATAGATATCTACCACTTACCAATAACATCTAAATTATTTGGTCATGCCCTAGTGAAGGCTAACTACATTATTTTCTTCCAATACTTGTTAGCCATCCAATTAATATAAAAATGCACATTAAGTCAGATTAGATGAAGAAAGATACGAAACAAAAGGTGAAATCTTTTCGTATTTATTTTTCTTTAATGCTCTCTCTATTCAAACAAATAAATATCTTATATCTATATTGTCACATTCGATATTTTAATATTCGAAATGGCCAAACAACGCAAAGCCCATAAAGTTATGGTCTGCAATCATAAAAACGCATAGCTACCCGTTTTCTAAATGGTATTCATTTACACATATTACGCAACTTCGCATCAAATGAATAGACTATAGTTAATGCTTTGGCAACAAAAAAATGATAAATAAACTTGCCATTTGCAAATAAATAATAACTTATACATAGTTTTTTGTGACAAGTTGTTTGATACTATCAACAACCCTTCATACAAATTTGAATCATGTCCTTTGTTATGTCACCCGACATGAGAATAGCTTCCGTGCCTTCCGTGCGATCGATGTATGCAAATATCAGTGTTTGGTACAAGATGTAGGTAATTTGGAATCCCTTTACATTGTTCTTCTATTATTAGTTTATTAACATCAGGTGGGGTGAAGTCATGTCGGATGTCGGACCTGTCTATATAAAATAAAAAAATACCTACATCAACACAACACAACTCGTTATCCAATTAAATAAACATTGTGAGTGAGGAAGTAACAGTAATACACAAATGTTCGACAGTCACATTTTAAGACATAAAATATAACATGCTGTTGGTTATTAATTTGGTATTTGTTACATGTTAACAAAATTTTGTCGCCTACCTAAAATTTATGCCAGATGTACATTGATCGACAGGTCGATGAATCCATGTAAACTTTTTTAGTATCAGTCCAGCCGCTCAAATCTATTAAAATAAATGACCGCTGTTAGTAACCTAAACTTGCTTTGCCTAACAGTTAATCTAGTTTGACAAATTTTTCAGATCAATTCTTTTTGTTCACTCAGGTATATTATATTACATGCTTTCAGTCAGTACAACAAAATTATAAAGACCACTCTACTTTATTGAGGGCAACGCACAAAGCTCTAGTAAGTCCATGGTTTTAAAGTCTGTGGTAAGTTATCTTAGGGTACTCTATGACACTCTTTGGCCTCCGCTTTTTCACAGTAAAAATGTATTGTGTGTTATAATCTTATTATATATAAATCTCGTGTCACAATGTTTGTCCTCAATGGACTCCTAAACCACTGAACCGATTATAATAAAATTCGCACACCATGTGCAGTTCGATCCAACTTGAGAGATAAGATAGAATGAAAAATTTTTTGCCGGTCAATATCAAGGCAATGCTTGTGCAAACCTTAATATTTCCCATAATCGACTATGGTGATTTGTGCTACTTCGACCTGAATGCAGATCTACTCAACAAACTTGATCGTCTTCAGAATAACTGCATTCGATTCGTTTTCAATCTGAGAAAATATGACCATGTTTCCGCATACCGATCTCACTTAAAATGGATGCCCATTAGGCAGCGCAGAACTATGCGGGCTCTGACCACCCTGTTCTCTTTGCTAGATTCTCCAAATACTCCCCCTTATCTCACTTCTCAATTTCAGTACTTATGTACCTCTCATAGTAAAAATCTTCGATCTTCTTCTAATCGTTTACTTATCGTTCCATCACACTGCTCCGATATTATTCACTCTTCCTTCTTCGTAAAAACGATACTTTTGTGGAATGATCTCCCGCTAGATATCAGAATGTCCCCCAGTAAATATACCTTTAAAACCAAACTGCGAAGCTTTTTATTAGAACAGGCGTTTCATTGAGTGGTTTGTCGTCATTATTTTGTATTTATTTTGGAAGTATGTATGTATTTGTGTATTTATTTAAATGTATTAACTTATGTATGTGTATGTTTATATATTATTATTTTTATAAACTTTCTTTCCATGTGATTTCCACTTCAGTTGTGCACCCTACCACTAATAATCTCCACAACATCTGTGGGGGTTGCTTCCCACACTTGATGCTTGTTAAGGGTAAGGTTACTCCAAGGAGTGCTAAATAAAACCGAACCGTTTGAATGCTGTAAAAACACTAATTTATTTCTGTGACTAATTGTGCAAGAAAAAATACAATTTCATGAGTATGCTTAAAAGTAATCTGGGTCAATTTGAAATCATTTTAATGTACAATCAAGTAGGTATGTACAGCTCGTACATCTTGGCCACTTAAGAAAAGAAATTTCAGACCCTTTCTTATATCAAACTGCTGTCATAAATGTATTAAAGTGATTAGTTAGTAACAATCATCCTTATAATTATGTTAGATGGTGAATTATTTTATATTAGTAACAAAGTTTCTTAATGAATACGTTAATTTGTGACTATGTTAATAAATTAAGTATTCCATGTTTTTATAAAAATGTATTTTAACACTGTGTAATAATATGTAAATTAACAGAGTAAAAAAACAATAATAAAAAGCTTTAATTTAGCACAACTAGTTTAGATTAATAATTTTATTACTTAATAATGATTGATTGTCTTATTTTTAACGTTACTTCGCGAAAGTGAATCTGTATTAGGCACTTGAAAAGAAACTGACCGAGACACTACCGGAGACGTACACTTATCAGCACTAATGTTACTCATCGATTTACACAACCGACCGCACTCTTTCGACATAAATGTCGTATTCACAATTTCACTAACACTATCACTATTAGCTTGAGCACTACCAGGTACGCTACTCAGCTGCAGATGCTGCGGCGGCTCCTCCGGCGGACTCTGACTTGGAGATGCTCTCCTACATCCCTTCTGCAGTCGAAACCATACGACGAACACTCCAATTGCTATGACTATCGCTATAGTCACATACAACGCGGTGTAATGATGTATGTCGTGGATGCTTAGATCAGAGTAAGATTGTTCTTTAACAGACTGAATTTGCTTATTCAATGTCTCCCAAATGTCCGTATGATTTTCTTCTTCGTAATAGTTATCTGATATTGATGTGTTCAGTATTTGGTTCAAAA